TATATCTAGTCATGAAGATAACCATCCAAATAAGGAAAGTTTAGCAAAAAAAGTAACATTTCTTTGCTACTCCAGGGAAATAAAACAGAATAGAAAACCATATTTTATTGTTTCAAAAGATATGATTAATCAACATGATAAAAATATTTACCAAATATATAAATACAAACTATTCCCAACACCCCCTTGACTTAACCCTGTGTATGTTCACAACTCTCAAAGCTCATCTCGAAAAAGGACAATCCACACTTAATTCGAACTGAAGTAACTTCATGATTGATACGCAGCATCGCCAGTTTTTAAAAATATATACGGACGGATCTAAAGATTCAAATCCTAATAAAACCTCATGTGCATTTGCTTTACCCGAAATTTGAATAAAAAAAGGTTTCAAACTGTCTAAGAATATTTCATTTTCACTTGTTAGCTTATGGCAATATTTCTGTCTCTTATATGGTTAAAAGAATATAAACCAAATAATGTGATTGTGTTTGTCGACTCTTTATCAGCTCTCCAAGCCTTAAAGAGTAATTTATTTAAGGTAAAAAATTATTTATTGAACGATATTATATTTTTATACAACCAGTTAGTCAAACTAGGTAGTAACATAATATTTGATTGGATCCCAAGCCACGTAGGAATTTTAGGAAATGCAATTGCAGACCAGACTGCCAAAGTGGCCTTTAATGAAGATACAATAGATTGTCACATTCCCCTATATAAGGAAGACATCAAATGTTTAACAAAAAATATATTAAAAAAAATTTGGCAAAAACAGTGGTCAGACAACCCAAAGGGAAGATTACTACAATCCTTCCAAAATAAAGTATCATTTAAGATTACTATTCCACAAATGAATAGAGAAAATGAACGAATCATATTCAGATTAAGATCTGGCTCTATTAATGTCAATAAATATCTTTACAAAATAGGGAAAAGTCCGAGTGAAATTTGCGAAAACTGCAAAGTCACAGACAATGTTGTACACTTTCTATTAGTCTGCTCAAAATATGATGCGCAACAAAACAGATATTTGAGACGCTTAAAAAAAATGGAGTCATAGATCTCTCATTGAAATACCTTCTATCCGGATACACGCATACTTTTCGTCCCGTGCATAACTATTTACGGGAAAGTAATATACTTATAAGAAAATAAAGAAGACTCGCAAATATAAGTGTCATTTTGCCTTTAGATATTATAAAATAAATATGTATTTCGAAGCTGTGTATATAAAGTATTTCTCAGATGGTCCCTCAAGTTAAATTATTTCATCAAGTTATACAACAAGCACGATTAAAGATAAAAAAAAACTCACCCGAATCTGAAATCTTTTTCTTTTTTTAATATTCATAGAATAATAATAAGCAAGTCACAAGTGCAATGCACACTTCACCTTTGTGTCAGTCCATTGAGCGTAATCAAATAGACTTTTTCTACCTGTGTCATACATCAGTAAATCAATCACCTTTCAAACACCAGTACGTAATTGACCAGGCAATGCACGCATTTAATTTTAAAAATTATCAACATTCAATTTAAACACTCTGATATATTGAACATTAGTAGTAACTCCGACACTAGATAAGTTAACATTATATGATTAGAAATAAATACAACATCACTTTAAGGTTCTCACTAATGGACAATTACAGTCATATTTTTAGAAATAAAGAAATACAAACAATAAAAACAACACTCTATGCTCATATATTTAACAATAGAACCATTTGCTACAGCCTTTTTTTATGAAAGTGCCACTAACATTTGTCTTAATTATTTAACAGTATAGGTTCAAAGCTAAAAGAAAAGTAAGAACAAAAGAAAAGACAATATCTCTCAGATTTTCACAAACTGACAAATACAGTCATATTATTAGAAAATAAGAAAAACAAACATACACAATCAATAAGCTCATATATTTTTTTTATAATAAAGGCAAGTGCTAAATCCTTTTCTATGACAATAAATTGATAAAACCTAAAATGTGTACTAGAGGATGTCAGTTTGACAAACACACACAGAATATTGTAAATATATATGCACATCCCTGCACTATTGTTTCGCTAATAATCTCTGTACTTACAACAAATTCAAACAATTGCATTGTTTTAACAATATACTGGTATTAAATCATTTTCATATTTTTCTATTTTTACTTCATATATATATTACTTGTATATATCTAAAAAGGCGACTAAGGGTGTAGGTAGGGGTGATTTCTCATTCAATAACAGAAGTGTTTTTTTTTCTATTCAAGGAAGGAGGAATCACTAAATTCCAGTATGTCTTTGGAAATTTATTTGGAAAAATAGACGCAACCGTTATGGAAAAGGAAAAACTACAAAATATCAATTCTTACTTAAGAATTCTTTATTTGCTACATCAATCGTGGGAGACGTCCTTACATTGGTAGCATTTAACTAGCACATGTCTTGTTCTATGTTTCTTAATATACTTTATTTTTATAAGTATATCACAGACGACACAAAAGTGAACAGCCAGATGAAATTTCTAAACAATTTTATGATACCTATCAGTTAATAATTTACATTTCATTAGGAACTATCATTTGCTTTTTTTTTCATTTTCCTTTTACCTTTTGTTATGTGTTTTTTTTCCTCCATATAAATACTTTAATGTAACACAGTCAACCATGTTCGTCATAGTTTCATATAATTACTCGCCAAAATGAAATACAAAAAATGGCTCTGTACTTATACATCCCGTCATTATGTTAATAAGCTATGATAATTTCCTGTATTCTTGTCTTTCATTTTTACTTATGTTCTTTGTCTATATGCCTTTTTGTGTTTCTTTGTTACATATTTCTTTATTTTTATAGTGATTAAGATTATAACACAATGTGGACTGCTGTACCCCAATTTTTGACATTTTTACCTATTATGTATGTTTGTTTTGTTCATAAGTCGTTGTCAATATAATGGATTTTTTTTGCCATTGTCATACAAGTGAGAGGTTTAGCTAGCTATAAAACCAGGTTTTATCCACCATTTTCTACATAAGAAAATGCCTGTAAGGCAGGAATATGACAGTTGATATCAATCGTTTGACGTGTTTGAGCTTTTGATTTTGCCATTTGATAAGGGGCTATCAGTTTTGAATTTTCCTCGGCGTTTGGTATTTTTGTGATTTAACTTTTTTTATATATATAATCCGGCTTGCGTTGTTATTGCGAGTGACCTAGATATTGCCAATAACACTTCTCACCGCAATGTGTTATCCAAAGATCTGAAATAAGGTGAGCCTACGATCGTGAAACACAACTTCAAAATACTGATTGATTCAGTCAAAAATAAAACCAGGCAATGGGCTTAACGCAAACAAGAATACGTAGATACTCTTTTCGAAGGAGTTAAGGCTGTGAGGTTATTAATACAAATAACAATTAAAAAAATAAATGGGTCCATGAATATTCATGCTACATCGATCTTTTAAGACTAAAATATAACTACGTAACTATCATATCTTAATGACAAATATGTAATTGTCCCCGCAGATAAAGCCCCAAACAAAATCGTTTGTGTGTGTAAATTACATTACATAAACTGCTTGATAAAGGAATAAGGTATTGACAAATCACTTAGAAACTCAACTTATACCCCCACTTATTGACTTGGGCATTTGTTCCTTTGAAATGTTAACCAAATATGGAGAAGATGATATTACCTTTTTTGCATTTAATACATACACTTCACAAGGCTCCTAACAAACAATGGTACATTGCTGGCTCATTTGCATGTTCTACAAACCAAAATGCTTGAAATTGAGTGGTTGGCGTTTAAAACTGGTTCTCATATTTGTTTTGTCGTTTATTGTTGCGTAGTTTGTTATTGTGTTATGCCATTACAAAACTGTCCAAGGTTAGGAGAGGGTTTGTGCCTTTAATCATTTTTGACTCCCGCCTCATAATGTATGTGTATACCAAGTCAGTAGTCTGTTGTTCAGTGGTTGTTGTTGGTTCATGTCTATCATTATTGTTTTTCATCAATTGTTTTGTTATAAATTAAGCCGTTTTCGCACTCATATTGTTTCATTGATTCATTTCGGGGCCTTTAAAAGCTGAATATACAGTATGAGTTTTTCTCATTTTGGACAGCCGTATGGTTGCCTATAATTGCCCACATCAACTGCATTTTGGTAGCATATAACTACTTATAAAACTACATATAATTTTATATTGTGTACACAAATGTTAATTCGCATGTGCAGCGTACATAACATGTACACAAAGGCAAAGTTGGTGGTTGTTGTTGACTACCTAACACATTGCCACCTTTGTGTAATTACATTTTTTTTTGCTCTTAAGGTCAGTCTTAACAGTTTCAACACTGAAAATAAAGTTGAGTGTTGCACATTATCTTGAAGCAACATATGCATCAAGCCGCTTTATAAATTAACATTCTTTTTTTTAGGCCCATATTTATTTTCAGTGTTGAAACTGTTAAGACTGACATTAAGAGCAAAAACCAAGTACACAACTATATATGTACTTTGCAGATATCTAAGAGTGTTGTATACATAATGCATACTTACTGGTACATTATGATGCTTCCACCAGCCACCATTCGCAGTGTGAATATAAAAAAATAAGCAATTTTCTCCGTTTGGTTTTTATAGTATTACCTAATGGGGAGAATAAGTCTAGAAGATTTCCAAAAATTCTACCTCGTATGATTGCATATTTGGACACGCCTTTACTTAACAGTTTTTTGAACTGATCGAATCAAAATTTTACATATGCATATTGAGCGTCTGGATGATCGAGACTATAAGATTTAGGATATATTGTTGTTAACTTGCAATATCACCAATGTATGCTCTTTTAACTATAAAAGGTAAACACAAATTTTAAATGCGTGTAGCTTAAATGATCAGCAACACCAGGCGAACTTTAATGATTTAATTTGTTATCTAATCTGTTGATGTATCTGTTTCAGTTGTGATGTTTTCTTACTTTTTACATTACTATATTGCAGTTGACACAAAAAAGAAAGATATGATAAGAAGGATACTGCATGCTTCTACCGTGAAACAAAAAGTACAAAACCGAGTTTCTGGTACGTCAACTCCGCATACCAAACTACAGCCGAAAGAAAATCTTTTGAAAAAGGAAAAGAAACCAAATGTCCAAGAACCAAATAAATCTCAGGATCACTTACCGACTACAGAAAAACAAGAACCAGTTCCGTCTGCGAGAACGAGGGCAGAAGGATTATATGAACAACCGAAAATCATTGTTGATACAAATATCACTTCAGTTGATTCAAACAGCAAATCAGATGAAGACACTTTTAAATCAAATGAAGAAAGTACGAAAACAACTAAAAGGAAAGAAACAACAAATCCTGAACAAATGCCCGAATCTTCTATTAAGTCTCTTGACAATAAAAATCATGTTAATGCTGACAATATCACTGAAGCTATTATAGAAAATATGAATGAAATTCTTTCGGGTGCAAAGTTTGAAAAAGACAAAATGACATCAGAGGGTTTGGTAGAATGTGGCATATGGGATTTTGCTGGTCAAAAGGATTATTATGCCACACATCAGACATTTTTTACTCCACATGCTATCTATCTCCTGGTTGCAGATATTACGGAAGATATAAAAGATATCCAACATGATGAAAATGCTGATTTTGATAAAATTGGAGGTAAAAAGTTTTAAAAAGTTATATATTAAAAACTTATTGCTTCCACAGAAAAAACCTTATTCAACAATTGATTATTTTATTATTTGTATGGCCCCGTCACAACGTGTTCGGGTCATATTGTTTTACCTTCATTCCGTCATACTGCTATGAACAGTTATAGTGATATTTATCTTAACGCCTTCTCAAATTGTGCTGATTTTTATGATATAGTCTACTATGATGAGTTACAGATCGTATTTACGTTTGGTTCTTCTACGCAGATTTTTGTCCAAGTTACTGGTTTTTTACTATGAAAATTGCATGAAAATAATAGTGATACAAAGTTTTTCTAAACGCAATCATATTCTGAGATGATTTTTAGTATGTGAGTCTACTATAACGACTTACAGATCGAGTTATCGTTTGATTCCGGCTCGGTAATTTTTTCGGACTTTGATAGTGTTAAAATAACAGTGAAATATATTATTTTTCTTAACGACTTCACATATTGAGCTGATTTATAGTAGTTGAGTCTACTATGATGAATTACAGTTAAAAAAAACGCTAGGTTCTAGTCAATTAATTTTTGCCAAATTTACGGGCTTTAGACTAAATATTGTGATATAACAGTTCGACGGGTGTTTTTGTCTAAAAGCCTTCACATATAAAGCTGATTTACCGTTTGGTGCTACTCCGCTTTGAAAATATCGTGAAAATAACAGTTATACGGACTGTTATTTTAAACGACTCCACATATTGAGCTGAGTTTTAGTATGTGACTATGCGAAATTACAGGCTTTGGACTTCGACAATATCGTGAAAAAAACAATTATACGGATTGTTATTCTTAACGACCCTTTTTGTTGACCTCACCGGGAATGCTCATATCCACATACTTTATTTTCCGCGATACATAAATACTTAAGCGATAAGCAGGTGTAGATCAAAAGATTTTTTTTAAAGAATGTGGATGACCGTTTATTATTATGAAATACACTCTTATTAAGTAATAAAAAATGAAATAACTGAAATACCGAACTCCAAGGGAAATTCAAAACGGAAAGTCATTTAGAAAATGGCAAAATCAAAAGCTCAAACGCATTTATCAAATTGAAAACAACTGTCATATTCCTGACTTGGTATATGCATTTCCTTATGTAGAAAATGGTTGTTTCTAAAGTTAAAATGTGGGTCATTGACGATTTTTTTAAACCTATCAAAGATTAAAATTTAAAAAATTTATTCCCCGACCGATTGGAAACAACAAACTTCCAAACGAATTAAATTTTGAAGTAAACTATAGTTTATGTCCGGGATGATTCTTCGAAAGAAAGACCTATCATTCTGAATGAAAATAACTTCATATAGGTATATAATGTAATATAATCGTAATAACTATAAAAACACATAACTGTTTCAACAAAGAAAACACAAAATGGCATATAGACAAATTACATATTAAGCAAAAATGAAAGACGAGAACTCAAAAATGACACAATAATAAAGCATTAAGAAAATCCATTCGACAATAGAAAATAATAATTTCCCTCATTCTTGTTCAATTAACTTTCACTCATATTGCAGTATTCTTATTATTGTATTTCTCTTAACCTATTACACTTTACCTTAAGCAGAAATGTTTGATAAAAGTCAAAACACATCTTTTAAAAAAAAACTTTGGCTTCATTGTGTCCAAAATGTATCCGTCCTATGAATATCATTTTGATAACATTAATATAACAATGGTAATGAACAACATCTTAAACTAAAAATAAATTGATCTCAATAAATGTATTTTAAATTATTACGTTTTAATCTGTGACTTTATATATCCGTTAAATTTTTTTTCGGACAGTGACTTTTATAATGTCTCTGTGCTATTAGATCTAATGTCAATTTCGATATATCAAACCAAAGACAGTCATGCAATTTACACCAATAGTTCGTTTAATAAAATTGGATACCCTGCTTTTAATATTTTTTTTCAAAAACATATGATCAAATCTCAAAATTAATGAAATCATTCAATCTGCATTGATAATAATATCTTGCTGTAAAAATAATAACTCATTCAGGCTAACGCCGTTAGTGTGTAGCTAATACATCTGCATATGGCTCCGGGTAATAGAAATTGACTTAATTTTCAAAATGTCCTAAATTTCTGACGTCGAGTTTTAACTTAAAAAGAATATACATGTAGATATAATGTGTCATCTTTATCGTTAGCTGGTGAAATTTAGTTAACCACGAATTTCTATATACGTCATTCAAAGTGTGTATTTTTAAGTTAATTTAGTAAACCTAATATATACACTTAACTGAATATTTGTAAGAATCCTGTGTTGTTAATAACTATCAGACATTGGACATTAAGTTGTACAAAGGATATTTTTTACATCATTTGGTATGCCATGCTATATAAAATGTACCTGTGCACCGCTGGTTCACTCAAAAGGAAGCGACGCATTTACCTGCACTGTGTAATGCTATGACTTTCTAAGCCCGTCATGATGTCGCTATTATATCAGAAGTTTTCACTTTTGCAGTACGTCTCTAAGCCATGCTGCGTACCAAATAAGGGAAATTGATGAATGTATCAAAGTTATATAAAAGGTGTTTTACATATTATAGAATATAGAGGTTTTTTTTCACATGATCTTAAACCGAACTCTTTAAATGGGAAATCTTCGAAGAACAAATGAGAGCATGAAGTTGCTGAATTTCGAATCAATGTCATCTCCAATATGAAATGATAGTAAAAGTATAAGGAGATTCACAGAACCGACGTCCAACCTGCCGACATTTTCGTTTCTTCAAACCTCTTGTTTAGCCTAGATTCAGATAATTTCGTTTAGAATTCTTATTAAAATGAATGAAGCCTTGATTATCAAAGCCGTATGCGGCCAATATTGCGTTTTCGCGTTTTCACTTTGTTGCCGTTGTATATTAAAAAATATTTTGTTATCCGACATCAACTCCATTTTTCTATTTCAAAAAGGCATGTAAAATATAATAGCAAACGAAGACAGTAATTACCACGCTATTGCCTTAAAAAAGTCGACTACACAGCCATGTCTATTATAAGCCTTTATACTTTATGGTATCCGTGAAACTATGTAGGAGTTACAATTTCTGGTTGAACATTCCTACACTTGAAAAGTCACTTTGACACGGAATAACGACTACGGTATGTTATTAATATATTGTAACTATGCGGATATTTAGATATCAAATGAAAATGTGTATGCATATACTGTCAAGGTGGGACCATGTCAGAAATTAACAATATTTTACTTGTATAAGAGATTACAACGTAATTACTACTTTATATATTCATTCTTATCTTGAATAGATACAAAATCATGTTTTCAATTTTCTGCCAAGTTTTCTATTTAGTTTCATACTGTTTTTTTTTAAGGCAATTTTTATTTTTTCGCTTCATACACAGGTAAAATAGCTACGGACGTTTCACGGATGTGGTAATAAACGTCCGTAAAACATCCGTAATACGGATGTATTACGTACGTCCGTAAAACGTCTGTAAAAATACATCCGTAAAACGTACGTGTAAAAACTGATGTAAAACGGATTTTCCGTTTCACGGACGTTTCTTAAACATACGTATTACGGACGTTTCTGCAACATCCGTATTACGGCTATATCTTATTCAAAGATGTAAAAGTACCATGCATGATATATGCACGACGGCTAATACATGCATAAAGTAAAATTCTTAACTTGCTTTCAACATTCTGCATGCCAGACATACATGTGTATAGTGAATCTCTGCTTCAAGCCTATAACTTTTAATATTTGCATAATATGAATACATATGAAGTGATTTTTTTCCGAAAAGACCACATGATTTAATTAAAAGTATGAAATATTAAAATAATTAACTGACAATGTCAATGACTGATTTATAATCCTTTTTTCCAGAGCATTTTTTTTTTATATACTTCATTTGCATAGGATTTTTCAATGAAATGCAGAAAATACTTGTACTTTAATGCAATGTTAACTGTACATGAAAACGTTTCAATTGATGCACTACAACACAGAGGCATCATTATAGAGGAAAGGGTTAAATATAGCAATTTAATGAAAAGTGTATAGTAACAGGAACATATATACTGATAAACTGTCATGACTGTTCCCAGGTAGTAATTAACAAAATTAAATGGAAAGCTTCTTAACAACAGTCACGATGATTCAACAGTTTTCTCATTCTTTCATATAATAAAAAAGATAGTGAGTTTCTAAACACTGAATTTTTTCATTGCTTCTTGATGGTCATCATGAACATCCATTTATTTAATTTAAGATATGGTTGTACTTTTCCATCAACCATTTTAAAACATATCTTCCAAAAAAAATCTAGAAAAGGAGTCAACTTGTAAGTGAAATTATATAAAATTAAAACAATGTTAATTAAAAAAAATATCTTTTTCCTGTATGTCATGTATGTAAGGTCAAATAAAAAAATATGTGTGTTTCTTATTTCCGCAACTACCCTATATTTTAAGCTTAGAAATAGCCTACCCTAAAGTTTTTTTGTTTTATCAATAAGCACTGTTAAAGTCAGAATTTCTCTCCCATCAGCCCATAGACTCAATGTAAAACAAAATTGTAAAATAAGAAAAATCCCCTACCTATCCTATTTTTTCAAAGATGTAATAGGAAACACACATATTATTTCATTTGGTCTAATTAAGAAATAAATGTAATTGAAAAAAAATCTTTATAGTTTTTAAAAGATTTTATTTTTAAAAGCTTGTCCTCACAATATTAAGTTGAATTATACAAAGAGTGCTTGGTGTCTTTCCCACAAGCAACTAATGATGGATGGCTAATTAATTGCCATGAATGCAGTTAAAAGAATATAAAAATCTAACATTTAACCTTATTTGTAACGCTTGAGTAAAAATGACTGGATGTATATATATATTGTACAAGGCTGAATTAAAATTACCGCATACCTGGTTTCTTCAAATGAGACCAATGGAAATAGACCTGACTGT